AGATTGATTTGAGGGAAATGAAATGAAAATATAGAATGGGGAGATGTGGGGGAGTTTTTGGTATCATTTTGGGACTGATTTGACCACCGGAACTGCCTGAGGTGATTTCAAGTGGGCGGTTAGCGGTGGAGGCGTTGAGGATTTCATGGGCGGCTAGGGTTTCGTCTTCAGAGAGAAATAAGAGTGAGAGAGTTGGTTTGGGGAGGTAGGCTCTTGTTCGGACAGTTTTAAGGTAAAGGGTACGATGATGGAAAATCCAACGGCTGTGATGAGGCGTGACCAAAACGTTGTCGTTTGAGAGTTTACGGGGTGGACCGGACATGGGCGTGATTTGGGCCTGGATTTGGAGACGGGTGAGGGTGCATAATTGACTTGGGCTGGGGAATTTCAAAGGTTTGGCCGCAAATCTGATCCCTTTCAATTCCTTTTCCTTTTTTCTTTTATTTCAAAACTCTTTTCTTTTCTCAAAAAATAAAAATAAAAATCTAAACCGAATTATACTACCAAATTAAGTTAACTAACTCTAAGTAATAATTACCACACCAAATTAAAAGAAAAACTACAAAATTTGAAACTCAAAATTAAAAATGCAAAAAATGAGAATTTTTTGTGATTGTTTCCTTTTTTATAAAACAAACTATTACTAATTAATCTAAAATGTAAAGTTAAATCCTAAAATGCAAATGGAACTTGTATTAAAAATAAAATTAAACATGCACACAAAATGCAAACAATCAAGAATATTCTAAAATAACAAATAATTAAAAGGAAAAAAATCTAATTTTTGGAATTATGTAGGAGTACTTCATGTGAGGCAAAAATCATGTGCTCACAGCTGCCCCTCTTTCCTCGAAGACACGAAGGATTTTCGGGCAAAGATAAAATGAGCAATTATGAGGGATTTTTGCCTGTTTGAAACTCCATGAGAAGCATTTTGAAAAGAGTCTGATCGAACCTTGCTTCAAAGGTTGTCAACATATCCCTGGCTATAAAGGAATCAGGTCAGTGTAGTTCTGGAAGTTTTGGTTGTTGGGACTACCAAAAAGTTGTGATTTCCCTGTTGCTGCTGTTGCTACTGCTTGCTGAACTCCTTATTACACCAAAATGGAATAAATAAAAATAAAACTCTAAGCTAGCTAATCCTAGCTACTACAAGATTCCTATCTAGAAATTTCTTGAAACTTGATCTTGAGTCTCAGCTGGTTCTTGCTTTGGACTACGATCTGAATCTTGATGCTCATCAGCTATAGGTGTTGGTTCTTTCTTTAGCTTTGGATCAAGGCGGGACATGCGAAGCTTGTGACTTCAATCATATCTTGAGCGGTCTGCATCCTTCTCCACTTCAGCACTTTGAGTTCAGTTCTTTTTGTTCTTTTTCTTCTTTTCTTTATCTTGGATTGAGACTCATCCTTTTGGTCATCTCGAATCTTGTGCCTCGAGGTCAATCCTGCTCAGACACCAAAACAAATAAACGGACGAAATTTTTTGCCCCAGTTTTCACTAGGAAAATTTCGTGAGTTATTTATAACAAAAGTTTGAACTGCTTTTTTTAAAGCGGTAAAATAAGGATTGTGTCTATTTAGGAGGAAGTAATTTGGGAATGGAGACCTATATTTAAAATATCAACTCAAGGATTGGAGCCCTAATGTTGGCAAGAAAGACGACTAGGGAATGAAGGCCTTATGTCTAAAAATCTCAACTCAGGGATTGGAGCCCTAATGTTGGTAAAACAAAAAGGCAACTAGGGGATGGAGACCCTATGTCTAAAAATCTCAACTCACACATTGGAGCCCTAATGTTGGCAAAAAGGCAACTAGGGAATGGAGGCCCTATGTCTAAAATCTCAACTCAGAGATTGGAGCCCTAATGTTGGTAAAAAGGCGACTAGGGAATGGAGGCCCTATGTCTAAACCTCAACTCAGGGATTGAAGCTCTAATATTGGCAAAATGTGACTAGGGAATGAAGGCCCTATGTCTAAAATCTCAACTTAGGGATTAGAGCCCTAATGTTGGCAAAAGGCGACTAGGGAATGGAGGCCCTATGTCTAAAAATCTCAACTCAGGGATTGGAGCCTTAATGTTGGCAAAAAGCTACTAGGGAATGGAAGCCCTATGTCTAAAAATTTCAACATAGGGATTGGAGCCCTAATGTTGGCAAAAGTCAACTAGGGAATGGAGGCCCTATGTCTAAAAATCTCAACTTAGGGATTGTAGCCCTAATGTTTGCAAAAGGCGACTAGGGAATGGAGGCCCTATATCTAAAAATCTCAACTAAGGGATTGGAGACCTAATATTGGCAAAAGGCGTAAAAGATTGACGTTAGGGATTCTAAACTACCATTTTTGTTTGGATTTTCTTCTTTTTCTTCCCTTTTTTTTCATTTTTCATTTCATTTTTTAATAAATTGCAGGAAAGAACTTGGATGAAACTTCCCTTTTTGGATTGATTATTTGCTGCAAAGCTGTTTCTAGCTCTTGCGCATCTTTTCCTTTTCGGTTGCACCTGCTTTTTGCACGGTTTCTTTGGATTTCACCTGTTTCAATTTTTCAAACAAAGAACAATTGTTAGTTTGAAATGGTGGTCGGTTTTGTGGCCTTGATTGCGTTGATCATTTGATCTCGGCCCACTCTTCTGGTGAGAAACTCTGTCGCTTGCTGGTTTTCTGAAGATTGATCTCTCTCCTAAAATCGAGGAACGCAACTTTTCTAATTTTCTCGGGACGGTTCAATTGTACGGGGTTTTGGACCTTTCACTTTATTCTGACTCTAGGGGCTTTTGACTTTGGATTTCTTTTTATTTTCAATAACTTTGATTTCAGAGCATCGACCATCATGGCTAGTCGGGATCGACTTGATGCATCCGCTGAGGCTAGGTACTTTCTTTGGATTTGGCTTTTATTAAGCAGAACCCTGTAAGACCAATCTTGCCAACTTTTCTTTGTATTAGTCTCAGAAAACAGAGTTAGATCGAAAGTGATTCAAGGGAAAGTAGACAAAGGACAAGAAAATGAATTTAAGGAGAAGTGTCCCTTTCGGGGAGGAAGGAAGAACTTATCTGGGGTGCATGCAGACTTCAATAGACATGACATGCTTCTTAGACTTGATACCCGATCTGCAAAATTATCCAACTTCTCATAAACCCATAGCGACCCATGTTTAAAAACCGAGAAACCTATGTCAGGACTCTTTCAATACCAATGGTGATGAGGTGTTCCTTCTTTTCGATCAATGGCGCCCTTTGCGGGTTTTCGCCAATTGACCTCTCTTATTTCTCTTCTCACCATCGCCCTATAGTGCTCTTTACGAGTTTTCACTAACAAGACTCTCTAATTTTCAATTTCTCTGCTCATCATCGCCTTACGGTGCCCGTAGGTTTTCACCAATAAGACTCTCTCATTTTATTTCTCTCATCTTGAACAAGGTTTGGGTAAAAGAATTCGGATTGAATTACAACTTTGAAACCGTTCAGATGGAATTTTTGCCGAACCATTATAACATCTGCCCCAGTTTCACTTTTGGGGAATTTGTATTTTTATTTTGGTGTGACTGAACCCCAGAGAGAGGCTGCCTGCGTATCCTTTCAGAATCAAGTCGAACGTAGTTCAGGGAAAAACATTTTGTTTTTATTTTTATTTTTCATCAATTCATTTTTTCCATTTTTTTTACAAACATCATCGAGTTCCAAAGAGGGTAATGAAATAAATATAACCGGCTCGAAGGGTTAGCAAAGGATTGGAGTGTTTGGGGTAGCGAGAATGAAAGCCTTCGTCATCTCAATGGAATAATACCATCGCTGCAGAAAGACTAAATATAGTACCTTTTGACCGCGTCTATGTTCACATCTACTTCAGGATCATTTCCTTCAATATCTCCCAGGTACAATGCCCCTCTTGGCAATATCTTTCTGATGATGTATGGGCCTTTCTAGTTAGGAGCAAATTTTCCTTTTGCTTCCTAATGATAGGGAAGAACATGCCTTAAAATGAGTTTCCCCAATTCCAAATTTCTAGGCCGCATTTTCTTGTTGTAGGCACGTGCCATTCTTTGTTAGTAGAACTGCCCGTGGCAGACCGCAGCCATTCGTTTTTCATTGATCAGGGTTAACTGTTCTAGGCAGGTTTTGACCCACTCACTGTCTTCAATTTCAACTTCAACAATGATCCGGAGAGAAGTGATTTCAACTTCCGCGGGTATTACGGCTTCAGTTCCATAAACCAAAAGGTACAGGGTTACTCCGACCTATATGTGCACTGTAGTGCGATACCCCAACAATGCAAAAGGCAACTTTTCATGCCACTTCCTGGAACTTTGACTCATCTTTCTCAAAATCTTTTTGATGTTCTTGTTTACTGCTTCGACGACACCATTGGCTTTAGGACGATAGGGAGTAGAGTTCCGATGCGTTATCTTGAATTGTTCACATTTCTCCCCCATCAAATGACTATTCAAATTTGCAGCATTATCCGCAATGATAGTTGCATGAATAACAAAACGGCAAATGAGGTTGGAATGTACGAAGTCTACTACAACTTTCTTGGTGACAAATTTGAGAGTAATTGCTTCAACCCACTTTGTGAAGTAGTCAATAGCGACCAATATGAATCTATGTCCATTTGAAGCTTTCAGCTCAATCGACCCAATGATGTTCATGCCCCAGGCAACAAATGGCCAAGGTGCTGACATTGGATGCAGTTCTGTAGGTGGCGCATGAATCAAATCACCATGCACCTAGCATTGATGACGTTTCCGGACGAAACTGAAGTAGTCCTTTCCCATAGTCATCCAGTAATAACCCGCTCGAAGGATTTTCTTTGCCAAAACATACCTATTCATGTGGGGTCTGCACATTCCTGCGTGAACTTCATACATGATTCTTTCGGCCTCTTCGGCGTCAACGCATCTTAACAAGTTGAGGTCCGGAGTTCTTTTGTACAGAACATCACCGCTCAAGAAGAAACCACTTGCGTGTCGCCTGAGGGTTCTCTTTTGGTCACCGCTGGCCTACTCAGGGTATTCTTTAGTTTTTAGAAACCTTTTGATGTCATCATACCATGGCTGAATATTTGGTTCTGCCTTACCCGTATTACAGTAACCATGCCTTTCCCGGATTTGGATTTCCAAGGGATCAATACGGGCATTGCTCGGGTATGGTAGCATCGAGGCTAAAGTAGCAAGTGCATCAGCTAGCTCATTGTGACAACGAGGGATGTACCTGAACTCTACTGACTTAAACCACCTGCTAAGATCCTCCACATGTTGCCTACAAGGAATTAGCTTGACATCTCGGGTCTCCCATTCTCTCTGAGCTCGTCGGATAATCAGATCTGAATCTCCCATGATTAATAATTCTTCGACATCTTGGTCGATTTCCATGTTCATACCCATAATGCAGGCTTCATACTCGACAATGTTATTTGTGCAGAAAAACTAAAGTCGGGTTGTGGTTTGATAATGCTGACCAGTGGGTGAGATCAAGATTGCCCCAATTCCAATACCTTTTGCGTTCACCGCTCCATCAAAGAACATTTTCTAAGAATTGGTGTCCTTGGATATTGCCTCAACTGAATTTACCTCTTCATCTGGGAAGTAGGTGATCAAAGGTTCGTATTCATTATCAACTAGGTTTTCAGCCAAGTGATCTTCTAATTCCTGGGCTTTCATTGTCGTTCGAGTGACGTAGACTATGTCAAATTCAGTGAGCAGGATCTGCCACTTTGTTAACCTCCCAGTGGGCATTGGTTTCTGGAATATGTACTTTAAAGGGTCCAACCTGGTAATGAGGTAGGTGGTGTAGGCCAACAAGTAATGCCTCAGCTTCTGAGCAACCCAAGTTAAAGCGCAACAAGTTCTTTCCAACAAGGAATATTTGGCCTCAAAGCTTGTGAATTTTTTGCTTAAATAGTAGATTGCTTGTTCTTTCCTCCCGTTCATGTCATGTTGTCCGAGGACACATCCAAAAGAATTCTCCAAGACTGTCAGATACAAGAAGAAAGACATTCCGGGTTCAGGCAGGACCTAGACTGGCGGGTTCGACAAGTATTCTTTGATTTTGTCAAAAGCTTCTTGCCACTCGCCAGTCCATTTAATTGCTGCATTTTTTTTAACAGCTTGAAAATAGGTTCACATGTAGACGTCAACTAGACAATGAATCGGCTGAGGTAGTTCAATCTTCCAAGCAAACTCATAACATCTTTTTTGGTTCTTGGAGAAGGCAGATCTCGAATAGACTTTATCTTTGTTCGGTCTAACTCGATGCCCCTCCGACTGACTATGAATCCTAAAAGTTTGCCAGATGGAACCCCAAATGCACATTTGGCTGAATTTAGCTTCAGATTATATTTACGCGGCCGCTCAAAGAATTTTCTCAAATCCAGAACATGGTCATCCTGGGTCTTGGGCTTGATGATCACGTCGTTCACATACACCTATATCTCTTAGTGCATCATATCATGAAAAATGGTGGTCATGGCTCTCATGTAGGTTGCCCCGACATTCTTCAGACCAAAAGGCATGACCCTGTAGCAATAGGTTCCCCAAGGTGTTGTAAACGTTGTCTTCTCCGAATCTTCCTCGTCCATTAAGACCTGATGATACCCAGCATAACAATCCACAAAAGACTGTATCTCATGTTTGTCACAGTTGTCAACGAGGATGTGGATGTTTGGCAAAAGGAAGTTGTCCTTAGGACTCACTTTGTTTAGATCTCTATAATCCACACACACTCGGGGTTTCCCATCTTTCTTTGGCACTAGAACTACGTTGGCTAAACAAGTGGTGTATCAAACCACTCGGATCACCCCCTCTTTCAACTGTTTTGTGACCTCTTCTTTAATCTTGTCACTGATATCAGTTTTAAACTTTCTTTGCTTTTGTTGAACAGGGGATAATCAAGGTAAGTTGGCAACTTATGAACCACCAAATCAACACTCAGTCCTGGCATGTCATCATATGACCAAGCAAACACATCTTTGAACTCAATCAAAAGTTGGACTAAAGAATCCCTAGTTCTTTTATCTGTGTGAATGCTTATCATGGTCTCTTGGACCTCTTCTGAATTACCCAAATTTACCGGCTCAGTATCATTTAAGTTCGGCTTAGGTTTATTCTTAAATTGCTCTAATTCTCGATTTATTTCCCTAAAAGCCTCTTCTTCATCATATTCCGGTTCTTGGTTCATTATTTCACAGTTAGGCAGCGTATTTGGATCTGGGCATGAAGTCTGCAAGCATGTCATATTATTTAAAGTCGCATTATTAGAACTGAAAAGAAGAAAATAAGAAAAAGTAACAAAATCAGAAAGAATAGAGAGATGAACGGTAAAATATTGATTTCATTTCATTGAATTTGAGGATAACAGGGTTTACATTGGAAATTAAAAGACAAGAAACTAAAGAAAACATTCGAGTTACACCCTGGAATAACTCGCGATGCAGAAAAAGTGGCAGGACTGGACTATCGGGACTCCCACTTAATTGGGAATGGAGTAGCCTTCCAATTTTGCAGTTTGGCACTGGGTCCCATGTATAGCACCTCAGCGGTGCTTGAGCCTTCCGCTAGTTGGACCATGTGGGTTTCATACAGCATCTGCCTCACATCCCCACAGATTTCTTTAATTTCCTCAACCGTAAAAGCTTCATCTTCCTCTTTCTCATTGTATTTAGGCCTGACAAATGTTCTATAGAGATGCTGAACCGGCTGAGGCAAAACCCAACAATCATTCTTTCTTTCATCTGCCCATTTTACATCAACTGGCGTGGGTTGGAAACCTACCCCAAAGAACTTCTCACTAGCAGTCAGGGTGATAGGTTCAGCGATCCCTTGTAATGATTTCCCGAGCCCCTTTCTGGTTTTGTAGCCATGTCTGATCATTTCTTTGGCCACCATAATTGATGCATTTGAAAGAAAGGGTTGGTAGCAAGGTTTTCCCTCTTCACACAAGTCCGCGACCACAATTTCGAATGCCTGGTAGACTATATGTTCACTTCCTTCTCTAGCTTCAAGACAAGGGATTGATGGGTCCCGATAAATCGATTGCTCATCTTCCCCGTGAACTACAATCTCTTGATCTTCATGTTCTAACGTCACCATATGGTGGAGAGTAGAAGGCACAACTCTTGCTGCGTGAATCCATGGCCTTCCCAAGAGGAAGGTGTAGTAAGTATCCATGTCCAAAACTTGGAAAGTCACTTCGAAGTCCACCGGACCGATAGTCAGGATCAGATCAATCTCGCCTATTGTATCTCTCTTTATGCCGTCAAAAGCACGCACACAGACGTTGTTGGGTCGGATTTTCTCAGTAGCGATTTCCATACATTGCAGAGTTGAGAGTGGGAAAATATCTACCCCAAAACCACCATCAAGCATGACCTTTTTCACATAATACCCTTTGCATTTGACTATCAAGTGAAGGGCTTTGTTGTGTGCGGCCCCTTCCGGGGGCAGATCACTCTTGCTGAAAGAGATTTGATTGATTGCAAAAAAACCTTTCTGCCATCCTCTCCAACTGTTATATAGTGGTTTCAATAGGCACATATGCTTTGTTAAGAGTTTTGATCAACACTTTTTGATGTTTAGTTGAGTTCATCAACAGAGACAAAAGAGAGACTTAAGCAGGAGACTTTCAAAGTTGGTCGATTATCTCGTAGTCTGCCATTTTCATTTTCTGGAAAAATGCCTCTGCTTCTTCAGCACTTACTGGCTTCTTAGATGGGAAATACTTTTTCGTGGCATTATTCACTTCCTCCAAATTGAAGTACTTCTCTGACGGGCTATTTTCCTGAACTTCTCCCGAGACTTCTTTGCCCTTGTAAGTTACTACCACTTTGTTATAGTTCCATGGAACGGCAGTTGGATCTGTCATAGTCCTTTATGACGCGCGACCAATAACCACGAGCTCATCCAGCCTTGATGGATTTACTGGACCCCGCACCACGTAGGTCCCCTTGGGCACATACATTTTAGCTCCCTTGTTTAACTTAAACCTCCTAGGAGGACTCAGTGACATTTTTTCTTTCTTGCGGCCTCAAAGAACATAGAGAACGGTATTTTTGGAGGGTGCTGCCCCAGTTTCAACTTCTACTTTATTTTTCGTCTTCTTAGGGATGGTTTTGTTTTTCTTCTCTCCCTTGTCTTGTTTTGTGACAGCCCTTGGCTTTCCATATCAGCTATAGCAATGATGGCTTTTAGAGTTGGATCAAACTCTTTGTCTTCACAAATCATTCCAATAATCGGCATGTTGTTCTGAGCCGGTAATGGATTACTGGTTACATTAGGAACATCGTCGTCTTTTAGCACAATTCTCTTTTGTTCTATGAGGTTCTCCACAGCCCTCTTCAGGGTCCAACAATCATCTGTATCATGCCCTTCTGCCCCTGAATGGTAGGCGTATCGAGTACCAGCTCTGTAAGTGGGCGATGCTGGATTCTGCCTGGTTTGGGGAACAGGCTGCAACAAACACATTTGAACAAGTTTGGGGAACAGGCTGGAATAGGATTCACCGATGGGTGTGAAGTTTAGCCTCTGGGGTGGTTCACGGGCGTGGAAGTTGTTTTATGGAGGCTGGGGGTTGTAGTGAGCTTGGTAAGGAGGTTGATTTCTGGGAAATAGAGCTCTGTTTTGATTAAATTGTTGTTGTGGCCTGATGTAGGGTTGGGCATTCATCACTGCGTATGGCTGAGGAGCCATATCGTAGGCCACATCTTGGTGGGGGTAGTAATGTTGTGGGGTTCTTTCAGAGAAAAGAGGTATGGGTGGACGGGATCTTCTTGTACTTGAAGTGGCCATTGTTGCTTCTTCTTTCTTCTTTCGGTTGGCCACACCTCCAGACTTGCCTTGGATTGCTTGGGAGGTGGTCCTTATAGCAGACTGACTTAAGATTCACCCTGTTTTCAACCCATTTTCAACCATTTCACCTATTTTGATGGCTTCGGCAAACGGGTTACCATAGCAGACATCATGTTTTGAAAATAATCAGCCTTTTGGGCCTAAAGAAAGACCGTGACCAGTTCAATTTCATCCATGGGAGGCTTTACCCTGGAGGCTTGCTCACACCACTTGACAGCATATTCTCGGAAGCTTTCCAAGGATTTCTTCTTTAGATTTATCAGTGAGTTCCTATTAGGGGCAGTGTCGATATTGTACTGAAACTGCCTGACAAAGTCCCGAGCCAGGTCATCCCAGATATCCCAACGGGATATATCTTGGTCCATATACCATTCAGAAGCAATGCCGACCAAACTCTCTCCAAAGTAGGCCATGAGGAGCTCTTCTTTTCCGCCCTCTCCTCGCAACTGGTTGTAATACCTTTTGAGGTGGGCAATGGGATCCCCGTGCCCGTC